TTTATGTATGTACCATTGTTGTTTCTTTGCCATACATTGTACCAGCTACAGTTGTTGAGCAATAAAGTTGATTTGTATAATCATTATGGATATAAATAGAGACTCAGTGCATGTACTTACCTGGGTCTACAGGCTGTGGTCCAGCATTCATAGATGCCAGGATACTGTTAACTGTTGAGTGTGGGCCAAGGGTCTGTAGCAGGCAGGTATTCAATTTAGTAACTCATTAGCATAATCATCATCATCTGAATAATAACTTTCTCTGACAGTGAAAGTGATCTCGAACCAGTTTAGCTCATTGAAGAGCTAGTCTTCCTCTGGTTGTGACAGAGAAGACAGACGCTATGTACAGTATTTACAGGTTCATTGTACCGGGGAAATTCCCCTAGCTCTTTTCGACAAGCACAATGAACAGTGGACCACGGCTTAACATCCCGTCCTAAGGACTGTGACCCTAAACAGTAGCGTGCATGTCGGTTGAGCAACAACAGCCAGGATTCAAACTCCCCACGTCTTAGTCCAGAGGCAGGATTGCTAACCACTGAAGTACGCACGCTACTGATGTACATGTACTATCAATATCATCATCATAACACATTTACTTTTGATTATATAACTAACGTTTTTCCTACTTTCATTGAATTTATTCGACTGTGACCTCTACCTCCCGCATGTGGTAGACATTGCGAACCTGGGCTTTATTCCAACACTGAGTAATATGAGGGTGAGCGTTAACGAAAGACCGAGAACTCAGAATAATCATAAATGACTGATTTGAAAGTTGAATCAATCCTACATTTTGTACTCCATTGCAAATAAATGCCATTTAGCAAGTGTGGGTGCTAAAATATAACGCCTTGGGAGCTGGAAACACAACTGTCAGCCATGTTTACTTACATTAGGGTTTGTGGTGGCACCACAAACTGAGTGTGCCTCATGTGGGCGCCAACCATAAATGTCACAAATGTTTACTGAGATTATAATAATTGCACAAAATACAATGTATGTTGCAAAGTGGAAGTAAATTACACGAAGATCACACAAAGATATTTTTCAATCAGAATATTTTTATCTTTGAACTTCTTTAAAAATACTTATCAATTTTTGGTGCAAAAATGTTACAAAATGCCCCTTTAAGCAGTGGTTAGTACAATGTATGTACATGACTTACCATTTGTGTCTGAGCACTGCCACTACCAGTCTGCCAGATCTCTGCTGTACAACTGTCCATCAGACTCAGGGTACCCTCCAAACAGGCCTGCAGCACTCCAGCCTCACAGTCAAACCCAAACAGTACCAACATCTTCAGCAAATTATGCACATCATCTGAAAATAACAAAAACAGTTGCTGATGTCATCATACTGAGGCAATAGCCTGTGTTTTGAAGTGTAAATCAGTGAATCTACATGTACGTCAACAATTGAGTGAAAAACTGGTCTGGGAAGGGAAAAAAGAAATTAATCTCAGACTGACCATTCTCAGGACCTGAATCTATAGGATGGGTACTAAGGCACTGTACAGTAGTTTTCATGATCAGTTATTAGTGTATTTCTTGTAAGTGTATGTATTTCAGGAACTATAGAATTCTACAACACCCAATTTCCATTTACAATTCACTCCATTGTAATAAGAATGCATATTATTGTATACACGTAACCCATTCTTGTATATTTGTATCTTATAGGATTTTGGTCCAATTATATTGTACGATATTGATATCATGATAAACGACCCAACACTATATAAATTATTCAAAGTTAGCTACACATGTACATGCACCCGTAATGTACCATGAATACAGTTTTGCGAATCATTTTAAAAGTAAGTTGTGGTAAGACCGTGTGTTGTATGTCTACTGTTCATTGCTATACCCCCCTCCCCTTCAGGATGCCAATAGCACTATTCCGGACTTTCGTGCTGACAAGTTGGCTATACAGACATGCAGAATTTCCAGTTTTTTAAAGACTTTATCTAAGGACTTTTGTTTATTGTTACAATCGTCATGTTATTTTTTATCAATTATATCGGTTTCCTTTTCCAAGCATACAAAATGAACTAAGTATACAAGATACCTTTGGATTTGTCTACAGCATCTACTATGTCTTTTAGTGCAACCAGTAATGCATGGTCCTCATATGGGCTGCCCTCCCGGAGACTAAGCTTCTTTCGTTCTGCTTTCCTACGGCTCTTGGCTGTTCGTCTGAAAAACACAGCAAAAGAAACCGTTGAGCATACAACATACAATGTACATACGTGTACCTCATGCAAAACTGTTGACAGTACAACTGTTGACAGTAAACAACTGACGACAGTAAAACTATTGATAGTACAACTGATAACAGTATACAACTGGAGACAGTACAACTGGTGACAGCACAACTGGTATCAGTACAGCTGAAAGCACAACTGTTGACAGTACAACTGATGACTGTATACAACTGGTGACAGTATACAACTGGTGACAGCACAAGTGGTGACAGTACAACATTTGATAGTACAACTGGTGACAGCACAACTGGTGACAGTACGACTGGTGACAGCACAACTGGTGACAGAACAACTGGTAGACAGCACAAGTGGTGACAGTACAACATTTGATAGTACAACTGGTGACAGTACAACTGGTGACAGTACAACTGGTGACAGCACAACTTTTAACAGCACAACTGGTGACAATACAACTAACTGGTGATAGTACAACTGGTGACAGCACAACTGGTGACAGCACAACTAGTGACAGCACAACTGGTGACAGCACCACTGCTATCAGTACATCTGGTAACAGTATATTAAGTGATGACAGCACTGATGGTTTAATTGAGAAAGTGTTGAAGACTTCTAAAAATTTGCACTCGGTATGTACATACACATATACTGACCCTGATGTTTTGGAGGTGGCTGAATACTTGGCTGAGCTGTGGGAAGAGTGGGTCCTGGTGGTACTGCTGGTGTCAGAGTAAAGGTCAACGTCCTGGTCTGCATGGTCGTCACCTGTACAGAATACAAACTTGTGTCCAACTCAAATCAACTTAACATCAATTCTACATACATGTACATGTAGTACATGTAGATTGTGAGATAAAGAAAATAAAGAAAATTTTTTAACAAGTGGTTTATAAAGATACTGGCAAAGTTCAGCTTTAGAAAATTTTGTTATAATTCTAAATATTAATTAACCAACTATATGGCATTAATAAATACTTAGTGCATCACAATATATATACTAACTTTGGGTCCTGCATAATATTACATTTTTGTACATGTATAGGCAATGCTGCCAGCTCGTGCACCATGTATTGCATTGTTGCAAGCCAAGACTAGTAATACATATTCAGTGAGGTTAAAAATCCAAGCAATATACTGTATCCTACTTACCTAAGATTTCTGTGCAAGCCTTGGCCTTCTCTTTTCTCACCACAGCAAGTCTGTCCTTATGTCTGGTGAACAGTGCTTTGTTATCCTGTAGGAAGGCCAGCTGTCTCTGAGAGGCTGGAAACAGAATAGATGTAAGACTGTATGTTGTGTTGTGTATTTAAAGCCAAGATGGGATTTCATAAGTTTTGGGATACATACATGTATGTGTAGCAATATTTCATATGGCCAACATTCAGAGGCTGTATAAATTTCTTGTAAACTAATTCTTCATATTAGGCCACACTGACTTAATTTTATGGATGACATCCTCCGAAGAGCCCCAAACTAGTGCGCACGGGCAAATTAAAAAGAATCCGCCAAAAAATAAAAATGCTACCAAACCACTGGAATATAAATCCGGTATTGTGAATTTGTGGCAGTACTTAGAGTTAGCGTCGTATACGACAATCTGGCACATGCTGTTGTTTTGCGGAATTCATGAATCGTGGCACTGTATGTATGTACTGAGTTCTTGAATTGTGGAGCTTAGGTAGCCTGGGTGCCCGGCTCTGTATTGTCGCTAACTACCATGGACTACCCAGGCCTAGAGCCAGACTAGAGCCTCGGAGGACGTGATCTTTTTTTTTTTTTTGAGAACAGGCAAAAATCAATGCGCGAGCGGATGTCATCCATAAAATTAAATTGGTGTGGCCTTACGAAGACAATGTCATTATTATTTTGCATATTAATCATTGTGGGAAATATGATATAATATGATATAATTTACCAAAAAGACCTTACAGAGTCTTAAGCTTGGAAAGGACATGTGTGAGAAATATTATTTCCTGATGACATGTTTACTAGTTACACACCTTCCAACAGAGCAGGTTTGAAGTTGGTGTCGATAATATCTATCCTGCTGTACTTGTTAATCTGGAAAAAAAATAACTTTTTGTCACTATACATTGAAGACCACTAAACTGCACAAAGTCGTCAGAAACAAAAATGATGAACTTACATGAGGCCATACATTTCATTTGTTGGTTCTAGGAGTTTGAAAATAATGCTGAACTGAATATTATCAAATAGAAAACAGAGCTAGCAGGGGATGGGGTATGATTTGGTCAGGTTAAAGTTTTCATCCACTAGAATAGTTGAATTGTGTTTTCAACTCTATAGTTCAGTTTTAGTTTAGGCCAAACCAATGTAATTTCTTGTTTCTCGGATTTAAAAAAATATGAAGCGACAGGGCGAAATAAAAATAAAACAGGCCAAGGCACCCCATGATAGCTGGAAATGTCACGATATGAGCCATGAAGTGAACATACCAGGCTGGTTTATAATTTAGATTTTGAACTTTTAAAGAAACAAAATTGCATTGTTACATTGAAAAACTTAAAGAACTAGGAAGGAATAAAGGACTTTCTTCAACCGTTGGGGCCAAAATATGTCTTTCATTGAGCACTTTGCAGGTAGTTTAGAACCCTCCCCCATTTTTTTTTTTTTTTGCAAATCAGAAAAAAATGGACAGGGCGATCCGAGAAGCAAAAAATTAACTTGGCGTGGCCTTAACATGTCTGAAAACCAAAGAAGTGAACTGGCATGGTCTGATGATCAATAAACAAGAAGAATCCATTATCAAACTAAAGACTAACCACTCGAAGAGCCTCCTCCCATTGGTTCCCTTCCAACAAGGTGATGATAGCTCCCTCCTCATCCTATACATAAGGAAGGACAACATGTTGTAGTCACCATAGCACATTGGCAAAAAGTACTGCGCCTGTGCGAAACCCGGATTTTTCACGGTATTTGTAGGATGTTTGGTCAACGTTGAATCAGAATTTTGCCTGTTGCAGATGATATCTTTTCCAACACAACATTTGAAAACTATAGATGGAGTGTTGACCTTACATAGGCAAATACGACTTCATAGGAGACCTTTCCTTGAAGTGCTATGCACAACACATTACGGGTTTAGCGCAGGTGAAGTACATTCTGCCGATGTGCTAGTCAACATTGTGGGACCAAAAAATATGGAACATGTGCGCCTTCTGTTTATGCTACACTTCTAATTTTATGTAATATAGTGTGTTTTGCTTCATGTTGACCCCCGAAGGGCTACGTGAGATTTCCCAGAAATTTAATTCTGGACTTCCAGTTTAATTCCGGACTAATTCCCAAATCTCAGCAACCTTACATCTAGACGGGCAAATATAGGTAAAAATGATGTAAGAAGTATGTAGCAGCCATTGAGCATCCTCCCATGGCAGGGGCAGCGGCTCCGAATTCCTTCTCCACCCCTTACCCCTGCCAAATAACATGGCATCTTCTACTCTACGACCCGATTCCAGGGACACGCTCTCAGCCAATCACGTATCACAGAGAAAATCTTCAACGCACTTTACATTAATATTTATGAGATGCGCTAGCTATCGGAACCAATCATGTCGGCTATTCAGTGACAAATAAAAACAAACATGGCGTCGTCTCGGGAAGAGAACTTTTGCGATGCAGGCCGCTGCGGGCGTCGGCGGGGCGCTAGCGTGTGCTGGAGGCTGCGCGCGGATCCCGCCGAGCACGGGGAAGGTGTTAACTCGGTGACTTTGCCCCGCACGGCCTCCCCAACGCGTTAACGGGCTCGTCACCGGGCGGCGGAGGGTGACGTCCCTTCGCCGCCCAAGTCAGAAATGGGGTCATACCAATAAGGCAAGCTCATGAAATATTAATATTCCGTGGGGTCGTAGAGTAGAAGATGCCATGTTATACGGCAGGGGTAAGGGGTGGAGAAGGAATTCGGAGCCGCTGCCCCTGCCATGGGAGGATGGACTCTGACGGTTTATCCTGACCGCCAACACAGTACGCATGCGTACGCTCGCTGGCCAATCAGAGCTCGGGCATCGGAACCGTGCCCGGATGTTGACCTAGATATCTCGCCTAATCTCCAAGCAGATCCCAGGGTGGCATAAGACGGTATCGAATTTATACTAGCTAGCCCCCTCTCAATATCCATTGGCTAGAGGGGGTCCAATACGGCGTATCTGATTCTGACCTTACATTTGCTTAATGATCCAGGTAGGATCACTTGTTAATTTCCAGAAAC